ATTACGAATATGTTTTTCGTTTTATATAAATTTTATTTTAAATAGCAAATGCAAATGCCATCTTTTCATGACAAGTATATTCGACATAATCATGGGAAGGGTTATTATTAAATAATTTCTACAGCGTTATTTGAATTAATTCCTCTGATATTTCATAACTTCTTACCATTGTTCTGATGAATCCCTCGTCGACAAAAAGAACACAACATCAATTTAAACGTGTACATATCTTATTACTCATTGTATAATAACAAAATAAAATCGATGAAGATTTGTGATGAAAGTTAGTTAAAACCGTATTTACATTTGCACTTGAAAATTTTAAGCCAAACTACAAGATCAACTTTAGAAAACTCCATTTCAAAATCTGATAAAAATTAGTTTTTAGAAATACACAGAATCATTGAACATTGAAATTAGGATTAAAACTGTTTTCTAAATTTAATTTCAATTAGTTCGTGCAATTATTAAAATTGTATTCGTATATGAAGGTTATTAAGAAGAAAATAACATCTCCAAAAAATTGTTAATTGAATAATACTATAAAAATATGAAATTTTCTTAATGAAGATGTACATAAATAAATAACATTCTTATTATGACTATGATTAATTTTATAATTTATTGCAAGAAATATTAATATATAATTCTGAATGAAATTACAAATATTTTGTATTATAAGTTACACTTAATATTCTTTGCATTTCGCAGTGTTACGAATAATTTATCATTAAATTTCAGTGTCCACTACGAATGTAGGTACCTATGAAAATCTATACATATATGCACGAGAAAGTCGTAGCAAATGACGTGTAAAAGACATTTAATTTTTTACGCGCTGATCTTGACACGTCACTTGCAAGAAATGATTATGGGTTCGTAGTTTTCGCGTTTTATATTGCTTCACGCAGTATATTACGAAATCATTTCCATAACATTACTGTTTTTTGAAAGTAGGTACTTGTCTGACTATAGATATGCAACTATACTAGTTTAAGATTCTTTCGATAATGCAAGTTTCATTTACAGAAGGTTTCATCTAGTTTATTAGAATATGAGAACATATCACTCATTTCTATATTTTTTTAAATTATCATTAAAAACAAAATACATTGCTAATATTCATACAAATATATTATATAATAATTACATTACAGATATTTACGCGTTTATAACATTTACGGTTACAGTAAATCCAATGACTTAAAAACCACTGTCAAATTTAATAACATTTTTATTTTTAATTTTAACTGTGCAAAGTTACTTAAAAAAGAAATATATTTCCGTGTATCTCATACTCTTGTAAATTAGTATATAAAAAATTATTTGATTTGACATCTATATAAATATGTTTACATTAAGAAAGACATAAGCAAAAACAAAATGTAAAAACAAAAATCCTAGAAAAGAATGAGAGAACGAACATACTTCGCGCCATTTTTGAAACTTGCTTAATTATTAATAAAAAATGTTACATTTGAATCTGAACACCATTTTTTAGAAATTTGCAAAAATTATAATATATCCTCAATATTTTTATTATGAAATTTAACTGAATTCATTACACCATATAATTATGGTATATTAAACTTTATTACATCATATAATTATTAACTGGGTATATTAAACTATATGGAAAATATACGCAATTTTACATGATCGATGGTCAAATAATAATCTGACAAACACGCAATTTTACCTGATTACCGCAAGCTGTGGTGGTTAAATTTTTTTTCTTTAAGGAAGAACTACATTAACGTGCATATTGAACTCTGATAGTGTCTTGGTGCAATAAATCTACGTCTGTTGAACGAACTTTCCCAACGAAATCGTTGTTACGGTGTGTAAAAAGGAGAACGGCTTTTCCTGAATATGGATTATATCAGAAGTTGATTTACACTTACATGAAAGTCGCTCGATTAACTTTTCCCCATGAAAGCTGTACTCGTATAGTGAAATGAACCTGAATAACGATAACGAACTGATAATTATGAGAGTTATAGTAATTTTTCACATAATAGATTCTTTAGAATTGTAGTAGATTTCCAACTCACTGAATGGTCAGAATTTTAATGACTGTTCCTTTGCTGAAACTGATTTCGTAAGCCGCCTCATTTATAGTAGAATTCATTGACTGCTCATACAGTTATTATGTAACGTCTAGCAATTGTAACATATTATGTAGTTCAATAATATTCATTGATTGCAAAAGTAACCAAGAAATGTGGGTATCATGCAATATGTAATATTATTTTGCATTTTATTTCAATCATTTAATAAAACCTCTTTTTAACTTTCAGTTCTAGTCATTGCGATGTAAATAAAAATTGTATGATTCTAAGGTCTTCAGGAACGACTCATTGAAACTATATTGGAGGTAAGAAAATTGTCATGTGGATAAAATATTCATAAGAATGTATGGTAGATTAATATCTCTAATAATGAATTATATATTAGTTATTACGGTAATTAGTAAAAATCGAAAATAAATCAATATTAGATATTGAACTAAATTGCACGTAAAATTTTAATTTAAATATTACGATACATGGTGGTGCAATGTAAGTTACATATTATTTTTAATTTCTAAATCAAGTATGTAATTTTTATTCTACAATTAATATTTAAAAACTCCTCCAAGAATTTACCTTTGAATATTAGTGTTCTAAACAAACACAATAATAAAAGTATTGAAAATTTCTTAAAAACGTAATATTATTTATCTATTTAAGCAACTAGTACTAAACAATCTAAATATGTAATGATAATATAAAATAAAATTAGGTGTTTATTTTTCTTTCTACGAACATTTTTCCTAGTACAAGTTTACAAAATTTTGTAAAATTTCTTAATTCCTATTTGGCGTTACTAAGTGCTTCAGTAGAGATCGCAGTAGAAAACTGAAACAGGTGCAAAGGAAAGGAAGTTTAAACACAGACCTGATAAGGAAAATCTAGTTTAATAGATCGACGATTGATATCGACACAAATATAAATCACGGCTGAATTCCTATACACGGACAAAACACGTATTTCTGGTCACGTAACGGTACAGTCAATCGTTGCGGGAAACATATGCACCGGTCACTTCCGTATTCCTAACTGGATCGTATTAATACTTGGCCGTTTTAGTCGGGCCACTTTATATTCTATAAAAAGCTTCAATTCACTCGGCGTATGCAATATCGTACCCGTAAATACGAGCCATTCACAGTTGTCCTTAATGTTACATCGCATGAAAATTTAATATTGCATGAAATCATCGATTTCATCCGTTAATTAATGTATTCACCGACTACAATGTTGGCCGAACTGTAATTTTCTATACGCTCTTCTCAATAGTCCAACCGTTAGAACGATTAAAGCAACTTTCTGAACTATTAAACCGTTACGACGATTAACTCGTCGTTACGCAGGAGAAAAGCTTATTAGAGGGAAAGTGGATCATCGCGTTAAACGTGTTTATTGTTTCATTATAATTAATCTTTCAACTTCGTCACATTCGATTATAATAAAGGTATTTTACGTATCACCGACATTATTTTTATTGGTAAACAGTTACAAAATATTGATTCTTACATTTACCTATAATTCAACTTACAAAATTACGACAGGAAACTTGATATTTTTCTATTTTTCTTTCCGATGATTCATTCAGAAAAGTTATACATATTGCCAAAGACATTTACTTCGCCTTGACACATTGATAATCTTAGAACGCAAAATAATTTTCATCCTAGTAACTTACTTTCTTTATTTTATTAACTCCACTCGAGTGTTTCGGTAAACTTTGACAATTATGAACATGAAAATTTCTAAAAAGGTTTTAATGCATTCAATTTTCATATTAATAAATTATGCAAAAATCGAATGGAATAAACTCAAAACTGAAGCTTTTTTGAAATAGATACAACGTTTGGAGCAATTGAGATATAAATGAAACTTTCCACGTACTGATCCACATATCAAACAAAACATAGTTTTCTTTTAAAGCGTTCCATTTACACAATATTTAATAATGAAACGTTATCCAAATTTCAAGTATACAAATGCAATAATCATTTTGTCATCAAATACACGATTTCACAAGAAAGCAATGTTAAAAAATTACAAAACTACTATTAAGAATATACAAATATTACCAATTATAATGTCATAACATAAAGAGTTAAGTAAAAGTTACCGCAAGGCTGATATAAAATTTATAAAAGAAAATTCTTATTTATATCTGATCTAACGTTGGATATTAAAGTTAACATTCTCTAAACCGCCTAACATTTCAGAATTACCGAAATGTTTTGTTCCTTTACTAAAATCACAAACTAATATTAGAAAAATGGTCTTTTCACCTCCAGTTACCACAGCTACGTAACAAAAAACAAGTGTATCACTTGGTAAAGTAAATATCGGATACTAATAAAAAAAAATCGAACGTTCCATAAAAATAGATAAGGAATTATTCTCTTTTGCAAACATTCCTATCTCTTACTGTTCTTCTTAATTTTCTTAATCTGTCTTATAACTTGAACACTGCTAATGCTGACTTTTCTAATAATGTCCTTTCTCAAGGTAAATACCAATGGGTTTTAGACGAAAATTGCATTCATCCAAAATATTAAGTTAAAATATTTGATGACGATCCGTGAATAAAAAAGCAATTAAGTTTATTCACAACAATTGTGAATAAATAAAAATTATTCACAACGAATGCGTTAATTTTCTCACGATTCTGTGTCACCCGAAACGTACCACACAATAATAAAAATATTGTCGCAATATAAAAATCACATCTTCCCCTGTACTTAAAATTCGACAACGTTCAAACTAAAAACTTACAGAAGAAAACTGCAATTAGAGAACTAACACATAAATTAACAAGACGAAGTACTTTATTTCTACACAGTTATTTAATAAAGCATTAAATTTACCTCCAACGAAGTAAATTCATAAATAATTTCCTTCCAATACGATATATCATTGGAACAACAATCCTTACCCTCATCAAAACTGTGTATTCATTTTGCAACAATATTTTTCTCCATAAGCTACACCGTCTTTGCAAACCAATTTGTCGCTAACGACATTGCAACTTCCAATTAGAAAAACATAATGAATAATCGATACATTAACCATTGCCTTTAGTATTGATTCTCAGTGACTGGACGAATTCCGTTTCGAGATTGTTGGTAGCCAGGCAGACCTTGAGTTTGTGGGTACCGTATTTCGCTCTGGTACACCTGGTTGTATCTTTCTTGATCTTGGTACGCTTCTGTTTGACCTTGATACGATTTCCCTTGTGGTTGGTACGCGTTTGCTTGTTGTTGATACGCGTTTGCTTGCGGTTGATACGCGTTTGCTTGTTGTTGTTGCGCGTTTGCTTCTTGTTGGTACGCATTTGCTTGTTGCTGGTACGCGTTTCCTTGCTGTTGATACGCGTTTGCTGGCTGTTGGTACGCGTTTGGTTGTACTTGGTACTGAGTTTGAGGCGCAGGCGCTGGTGCCTGAACAGGCTGAGGCACGTACGGTTTCTCAGGCCGCTGAGTACCAATCAAATTTGGCAAGATGGTGTAAGGGAGCTGAGACTGATACTTCAACAGATCTTGTATGTAACCTGGAACATTGGTCGAATATTGCAATCTGGGTTCAGGCGGTGGTTGTTGCGGTTGATATTGTTGCTGAGGATGTTGCGCTTGCCTTCTGTGTCTGGGTCTGGGCGCCTGGGATTCCGGCGAGGTCGCTAACTTTTGGTAGTGAGCACGAACAGCGTCTAACTGCTCCCTCACGGCTGCATCCGTGTTGAACCTTCATTTTGGAAAATCGAATTGTTACCGTTATTTCATTTTCATCAGGATTTTACGAAACTCTATCTTGTACAGTCTCTTCAGAAAATAAATTAACCCTAGAACGCCACCCTGCGATTACCGGCGACCCCGCAAAATTTGAGTCTTGTCTACAGACGTGAAAATAAACATTAGAATTTTGGCGGCAATCTGTAGACTGGAAAATGTGAGAAGGAAAACAGAGGGAGCCGTTGCGTCCTGCGCCTTCTAGTGGACTCGTCAGTAAGGTCACCTAGCAGACCTTGCCTTAGACACGGGGATATACGATGGTCGGTTAAGGACGTATACGATGTATATACGAACGAGGAAGGCTTCAGGTAGTTGCGGGAAAGGTGTGAACTCGGTAGACCTCTGACGGCGAATATAGGTACTGCCGCCACAGAACATTCAGCTTTTCTTTACCTTTCTTTTATTTTTTTAACAGAAATCACACTGTTCAGATTTTATTTCTTAAGGTGTTTAAAAAAGAATTAAAGAAAAATAGTTCAAAAATATTAAACAGTATTTTAAATATTAAGATTTTATTTCTAGGGTTAACGGTCTCGTTAATTTTTTGGATTCAGAAACAATGTCGTATTGCTGTGGGACAAAACGTTCTTGTTACATTCTTGTTTCTAGGTCTTACTTCCGAGTTTTCAGATTGTGATCTAGTTCTTAGTTTCTGAAGCGACTGTACTTTCGGCTGGTGATTATACGGACTGTCAATAACGAAAACATTTGAACGATAGAATAATTTACAACAGGTTATTGTAGACTGACAACACCTCTAAGTGTATTGATAGATACTTCTTAAGTAGCATGTATAAATATTTGAAATGGATAAACCTTTTTGCCGTTATGGGTGACTAATGTCAGTCGACGTCGAATGCTCGCTGTGTTCTTACTTAATGGTAACAATTCTTTTCACAGAATTTATCCGAACCCGTTGGGAGACAACATAATTCATATAATTAGGTCATTCATAGTATGTATACTCAAATGATAGATAATTAAGTTAAACAATCATCATGTAGAACCTTATAATTCGAATATTCATGTCAATCATTCTCCATGGCTTTTATTAAATTCCAAATAATTTAGTTATAATTATATGTGTACCTATATAAGAAAAATAAATTTAATTTTATTGCATTATGACATGTAAGGTTTGAAAAAACTTGAAATTCGTCGGGTAACAATGAAACTTGTAAGATGTATAATATACTTATGTAATAATATTGTGGTACCTCAACCACAATATCAACAAATCGTAGACCAAAGGTAATCTTTAGTATTCATTCAAACAATATTTATCCAGTTAAAGTGAATGTTCGGTATTATTAAAGATTATAATGTACAGTCAAGTGTTATTCAATCCGTATAAGTTTCCTTAAAAAATCGATTCCGAAATTCACTCTCGTGACTACAGGTAATGATAACTTATTCGAAAATTAACAAAAAAATATGAAATTTACCTGAACTGTTCGGGAATTCCATTAATATATGGAGTTTGCTGCTGGAATTTCAATATTTGGATAATGTCAGGAGGCAAGTTGGTGGAGTAATGGCGTTGTTGCTCGGCTGGTTGGTGTTGAGGCGCCTGTCGTCTTTGCCTAGATGGAATACGCGCTTTTCCACGAGAAGGAGGACGTCGTGGTTCTGGAACGTACTGTTGTTGTTGATCTTCATACTGTTGTTGTTGAGGCTGTGGCAGATTTCCCTGTGCCCCTATTATATTCTCGTATCTACGGATGTCAGAATTTTTCTTACAGTAGTTTCGTAGCTCAACCCAAAAAATTAAAGATAATTAAAATCTTAGTTAAAACTGGTTTGTAACATATTGAGATGAATGATTTGCATTTATTAACTCTGTGGGTCATAACATTCTCTATTATAATACACACTTTTTACTTTGTTTTCTAATAACTTTTGCCTTCATACGCAGTTCGCTTTTTATTTATTTTTTTTTAATAAATTTCGAATCAACATTTTAATAATAATATCTTGACTATATCGATTATATGTGTTGTTCGTACTAGGATATAAAGGGTCAGTTTATCTATTATATCATTAAGAGCCTGATCGCACCATTATTATGAAAACGTTGTAGGAATTTTTAATGAAAGTTCACGCAAATGTTTTGTACGAAAAACTTGAATTGTTAGTAATGGTCTGTTGCATTATCAGATTGACCTTGTCATTATTGACTAGAACTATATGTACTATAACGTATTTCATGTTGTCCATAAAAACAACAAAGAAGTGGATTTTTATTCTGTCACACTGAAATGAATTGTCTAGAACAAACGAACGAAAAGGAGATCTTTAATCCAACTGAGGTCCATCTGAATCTACACACTGTCAACAACAAGTTATAAGCATATTGATCCTACAATTAACAAGTTTAAGATGGCTGAAATGAAATGCGCTAAAAAACGACATTTATAATGCAACAACCTAGTAATCTATTACATCCACATGATTCACATATGTCAGCCACGAAATGCAGAAAGAAATAATGATAATCAGTAACACAAAACTCATTTTAAAATAATCATACTGTAAACATACAATAAATGTCGTAAGTATAAATATATATATACCTTCTTGAAATTTTCAATTCCTGTATTTTGCACTTAAGCTTTAATTGAATCAAGTACAGTTAAAGCTCCATGAGAGTTTGACACTCGAGTCCGCTTCAAAATAAATCTATTTTTTTGGGGGCAATAAATTATACGCTTGACAGTTTCCAGCGTCTTATCCAACTCTCATGAGTCCTTTACTGTATACGGTAATGTCTCGATAAGTGCGACGTACTTGGGTCCGCTTCGGAGCATTCAAGTCAAGGCGGAAAGTTTTTTTGCTCTTTATACATTTGTTTTGTGCCCGAAGCCAAGCCTCTAGTTAACTTCTATTTACTCTGTTTTAATTGATTCCAGAAGGGACCCCCCCCCCCCAGTGGTGTGAATAACGCAATTGCTCGTGTCGCATTCATCGAAGAATCACTGTATCGTGTATCACTGCAGATTAAAAAGCATCATTTCACTATAAAAAGAAGCACTATAAAGTGCACATCACAGATTCGTTGTTGTTTGTTTTACGGCTGTTCAGTCAGAACTAGGATTTTCGGGTGGTTTTATAGTTCTGAAAGGCAGTGCATTAATTATAAAAAATATCGAGGTATAAATTACCTAAAAGGTTCGGGAATGATGTTCAGGTAAGGAAGTTGTTTTTGAAACTGAAGAAGTTGCTTGATCTCCGGCGATGCGGATTCGAATGGTTGTACCGGTGGTAGAATGGGTTCGTGACTTTGTGCTTGCCGCTGCGGTTGCGGTTGCGGCTGCTGTTGCTGTTGCGGACGGGCGCGTGATCGTTGTCTCTGGGGCGCTGCTCTTGGTGCACTGGGTGTGACTTCCGAGTACGCATATTGTTGTTCCGGTTGCAACCCTGGTCGTGGCTGTCGATCGTACGATCTCCAACTGACTCTTAAACCTTTCCAACAATATCAAAATGTCAAGCATGATAATTGCAATGGAACGACAGGGTGTTAAAAAGATGGCACATTTTCGCAAGTTAAACCATTGTGGAGATATGAAGTACCATTTTGGATTACAGCATCAAAATCTAAGGTGAAGAAAATCAAAATAGAACAAACGAAAATAATAACGCTAATTAGAGCAGCTCCATGGTACACTAACAAAGATATTAGAAAATCCTTAAATATTAATACTCTCAGTAGTAAAGTATAGAAATACAGCTGAAAATATGAAAGTTGAATCGATAACCACACCGATACAACGATAACTGACTGTTACACACCCATCAACCGCAGACTCAAAAGAAAACCTCCAGTAGATCTTGTTACATAACAATTATACGTATAAGCTCAACGATGCAATGCCATGAACAAATTATGAATTTAAGCTTTAATATGTAAACTACTCATAGACTTTTATATGTGTATGATGAAAGTAACATGAACAAAGGAGTGGGAATTAATGGTCTGAGAAAGTATCTAAATAGAAGGATTGAGTATGTATGCGGGTAACAAAATATATAAATAATTTCTAATGTCAAGTGGGCAAAATGTAACTATAAGTGGAGATAAAATTAAAAAAAAACTTTCAGAAGATGGATTCTTCAATATACTTCATACCAAACTAAGACGAAAATTATGAATGACGAAATTGCGTTCGAACCATCGTTTCCAAGTTAGTAATTCTTGAAAATACAAGCGGCATATGCGTAAAATACATCTGACGCGACGGATTGTTCAACTTGAAAGGTGCGCTTTTCAACTGTTCCAGGAGTTAGTCTCATTCATTTCATTTTATTTCATCTATTAAGGGTACACTCTCATGTAAACGTTTTAAAAAAGGCTTTTTTGGAATTTTCGGAAAAGAAAATTAAGAATAAAAATAAATTAACACAAAGAGTAAAAAGAGTAAAAAGTCAATCAAATTTTGTTATGCTGTTTTCTTTAATAAGTTACACAATCCAGCATTCACTGTGACATTAAAAAAACTCATCTATAAACCATAGAATTCCTTCAAACTTATAAGGATAATTATCGTATCAAGCACCTTTATTGAAATATAATGACAATTCACTGACTGGTACCTGCTTTCGCGAGTGTTCCAAAAATAGGTCTGTTAACAAAATATCCGCTTTTTTTAACGACACAAATCATTTTCATAGCTTAAACAAATTTTGTTCGTATTTAAAATGTGTATTAACCAACCCCGAATTGATTGTTTATGCTATGTGTTGTAGTTTTCTTTTACGAAAATCCTAAAAATGCCGCTTTTTTGCAGCGTTTAGTGGTAAATGTACCCGTAAATTTAACTAAATAGGCCTTCGGTCGAGGCCATTTCTCAGCTGGGTAATGGCCTGTCCGAGTAACATAATTGAGTAGCACGTATTTTACGCGTTTTTCGATTATATTTTCAATAACTCGTTGAACACGTTGAATCCCTCTCCCCCTGTGAAAGTATCTCACATTTTTATTAACACCCTGTACATTGCAGGTCCTTAAATCTTTCATTTATTATATTGACAACAGTATGAAAGAATATTGAGTTGGCCAGAAAGTAGTGTCAAATTTCTTAAAACAATATTTTGGATTAGAATAGTCACTTTCGACATTTATCTGTTATGTTATGAAACACTAGGTTTCAATATCTAACCTAGGAACAAGAGGAATTGGGCAAATAAGATTCGAACTATGGCTGGTTAGTCAATAATTTTACGACCAGCCTCGATACCCTCCTTCTTTTAAATCTTTCGAGTGTTTCAATCAGCCATTAATTAAAAATATTTTATTCTGTATGTAGAACTTATTTTTACACGAGGAATCTCCCATTTATGATCATATCACCATTATACTCACATACTGTGAGGTGTTTGTTTATCCGTGTCTGTACTTTACTAATTTTATACACAGACTAGTGGTGAAACAGAACAGTGGTTTATTTTTCTTTGAAAGCATAGAATTATATTTACCGGTTGAAAAATTGCCAATTTAGAAAAAATGCAGCAACAGGCAGTAAGATTTTATATTGTTTGGCTCTTTCTTTGCTGTTTGTTCTTCACACTAAAAATACAGATGTATTCGATCATTTACCACTGGGATCATTATATTGAAGAGATTTCGCATCGCCAGAGCCAACGTAGGAGCCCTGAATCTGACTGTGCCCATCCGTGGCACGTTGAATATTATACGCAGGAGGAGCTGGCGCTGACTGGAAATATCTGTTTGCGCCCTCTGCAGAGGCAGACTGAACTTGGTAATTGGAGTGGCCGTCGCTGGCACCCTGAACATTGGAATGACCGTCAGAGGCTCCCTGAATGCTGAACCCTCCACTCGATGGGACTGGAAAGTGAAAAATTGTACATAATAAAATGAATCAGTGCTGGTATTATTCCTATTAAAATAATCCGATTCAATTAAAATGTCTTATGTTCAAAATGGGTAAAAATGAGTAATATATGATATAATCATATATCAATAATAGATCATAAATTTTCGAAACGCTTATTGCTTACAATACAAAATCGTAAAGTATCAAAATGACTACTGAAATATTTCTTAGCGTATAAAAATATTACTTTTCGAACGTATATACACATAGTAGGAATGTAATATGTGGGAACCTTGTATAATGTAGAGTCTATAATTAATATGTTAACCGACGAAAAAAAAGAAATTGTAATATATTTGTTGAATCTAGGATCACACTTGTAATAATTTTAACTTGTGTGTTAAGAGTGTTGCAAGGATTTAATTAATATACATATACAGGATGTTTGGCTATTGAAATCAGAAACGTTAAATGGTAACTTTACGCGTCATAATAAAACAAAAATCAAGAATGACAGAATTATGTTGGAGGCTCTGTTTTCAAGTTACTAACAATACAAAATTTGGGTCAGAAACGCCTAAAACCAGGCAATATGCGTACAAACGGTAAGCGTAGTACTCGGCAGTCACACGTGTACACTAGCATTCCTCGAAAAAAACACCTTTATTTCTTAGCCAAACATATGATTTGTACACTTCCTTTGGTAAATTTCAACACCTGCAGGTCATTCGTGAGCATTGACGACCCTACCAAAGAACAAATAGTATTACATCTATTTACTGTTTACACATTTTTATTACTATTCTGTTCTTTGCGTTGGATTCGAATACACGTTTCTTTAGTTCGATGGCAGTCGTCAACGTGAAAACATCTAGTCGGCGTTAAATAGCCCTCGAATTTTTGTATAGTGTTAATTTCATTTATTTGTCATACATATTGTGTTTCAGTTTAATTTAAGTTAGTTTATTTACTGCTGGGGTGGTCTCCCTTGTGGATTTGAACGGGTAACCTGGTTTAATGACGTGCAAAAATCCCGGTGTACTTCTTTATGAAATGTCGCAAGACGATAGTCTTAGATCGAATGCAGGTGTTACACATCACTTTTTCGGCTACGAGGTACAAATATATCTTTTTTAGCGGCGCCACTGTACGTGATGGCACAGTAGTATTCTACGCTTACCACTTGTACGCAGATTGCTTAATTTCAGGCGTTTCTGACTCCAATTTTTAACTGTTAACAACTTGAAAACAAAGCGTCAAACACAATTTCGTCATTCTTGATTTTCATTTCATGTGACACGTAGAATTATCCCTTAAAGTTTCTGACACCAGTAGTCAAACACTCTGTATAAGTAGAATAAGAATTTTTATATTAACCGTAATCTAGTGTAAAATTACAAAGAACATACAGATTATTATAGATACAAAATTAGGAACATTATTATTGTGGAAGTTTCTTATTTTCAAGTAATTAGAATTTCATATATCTATTAGTCGTCGTCTTTGTATCAAACGGAGTGGATAACTAATATTAATGAGTAACGATATTTCTTTATGAATTAACAATATCATGCACTGCATTACCACTGTGTCCACTGTATTGAACTTTTCCACCCTCTTCCACTGTTAGACTCTCTGCAGCTCGATTTCCGTCACTAGGTCCTTGTATTCTGAATTGTGCTACGCACATAGGAAGTGCTATTAGTAATACCACCTGTAAAATAGAATGATTTCGATTAATATGCGTTCAATTCTTTTATTTTTCATTTAAATGATTTTTATTTCTTCTGTTTGAGTTGAGTGTATTTATATTTTTATGTCAATATTTCCTTTATGAATCAGCGTTAAATATTTGTTATCATGTCGTTCATAGTTTTCAAAAACGTTGCACGTACTTACAAAACATTAAAGCAAATACGTATTTATTTGTTATTTTACTTTCACGTTGTTATACCTCATTTTCTTCACCGTTATCAGTTTCATATCAATCTCTTACTGTATTACAATAAATGTTATTACTAATTACTTTTATTGTACCCAAACAGTAAAGGTATCACTTTTACAATTGTCATTATAAAAATTAATACTATGGTTAAGTGACATTAATTCATCATATTTTGTAAAAAAATGGCTACTTCGTTGTTGAATATTTTTTAAAAATGGACGGTGAACCTAAATTACTATTAGTTATGTACTACTTTATAATGTATTGTTCATTTGCTCACAACATCTACATTATTCCAAAAAGAATAAAAGTGTTGTTATGACAATGAAGTTTGCAAATAAACTCTGGACTCCAGAGCCGGAGTGTATTAAGTCACACTCTTCGAACTTTAGAGTAGATCAAATCAAAGATGCAAAAACCTTGTAATTTTAGAACCGTTCCGTAAGAACTGAACGAGAAACAATTTGTATCTTCGAACTATTAAATAGATTTAAAACAGGTCTGCATATTTATAAATGGTGAACATTACACTGTTTGGCTTGAAACAAGATATGGACTTGATATCATTTTTACACCATTATATTAAAAACTAACCGACCTAGAGCAAAATGATTTTGACCATCGGAAAAAATGAGAAATTTCATACAGGAAACGTAAAATGTCATTTTTTTTTTTAATGTTGACTTAATACACTCTGGCTCTGGGGTCCAGAACTGCAGTTAATTAGTCAGTTTATACAAGACGACTAGACAGAAGCTAACATTTGTATATTTTAATTATTACATCAGGTAAAAGTAAAATAATGTTCGTAAATTCGTAATAATGTTCGTGGCATTACATTGAAGAAACGAATCATTATCTATGAATAATGTATACGTACCGCTAAGTTTCATTCAGTACTTGTAGTACTTAATTGCTTCTAGTAAATATCAATGTCAATAATTTAGAATAACGTCAACATAAATATTATGATCATTACATTCCTTTAGATAATAGCTGTAGGAATAATAAAATGGAATGGATGTGCAGTTCCTAACAAACTTTCAGCGTCCTATTACATATTAGGTACTGGATTTCGATCACAGTATTATCTAATGCAGTAGAACTTGATCCTGGAACAGCTACGATTACGTACCTACATACACTACATACTACTTTGTGCTGAACGCGTTTATATGGAACTGCATCTCTAAAGCGGTTCAACTTAGCTGTAGGGGAAAGTTACAAGTACAAGTCACGAATTGACTAGGTTGTTAATCATCGGAAATAGTTAAGTTTAAATATACCAATGAGGATTTCACAATTCTTATTTTCGAAGAAATCAGAATCCTATTATATATACCTCAATGATATCATACGCCTGCAAGAAAAGTATCACAAGTCGAAAACGTGTAATTTTTCAGGAGACTGTAAAGAAACTGATTCATTCACGTAGCACTTCATGTATTAAACAAAGTAAGAGTAGCACCATGTGGCTTGAAGAATTGCACTTCAACTTGTGACATTTTTCTGGACGATGGAACTACGTATTGGAAGATATTTTATACGATAAAATGAAAATTGACAATTGTTGACTTGTGACACTTATCTCGCGGGGGTACGATATGTGCCTCAGTTGTTCAACACTCGCCGCCATTTTTCAAATAAGAAAAAGACAGAAAGATGTTTCAAATTGAAACGATGTTGCCATTTCATTAAAAAGGAACAATGGATCGCTTATTCGTACACCTAATAATTTCACATTTTATAAATATAGCAGTAATGGACATTTTTACAAAAATATTATTTTGATACGTATAGACTTAACCAACTTCATATTTAAGATTTCAACAAAAGATTTGGTTTATTTAAAAAAAAATAGCAGAATCAGCAGGTGGGAAGCTCATTTTTCAAAATTCTCTAAGAAAAAAGGTAAGGTTACAATACATTTTATATATTTATACTGTCTATCTATAGAAGTTTCTATATTTATTGTAAATAAGTGAAGTAACCGCTTTGCCCAGTGATTGTAAAAATATTATTTCATAGCCCTGTATAATTCAATAATATATGTGTCTATATACTTTGTTACATAATTCTTGTAATTGTAAAGTTCCGAAGAACAGTTGCTTGTAACTGTTACGTGTATGTTTGTCGAAGCTAATTAAGGTAATTAAATGAATCCAATGAAGACTGATCTGTTCCTTTCATCGATCATATAATAGATCCTACCTTGCAAGAAACCATTTAAATCTATTAGAGTTTAATACATGACATTGCATGCTCGTTATATCATCTACTTATGTTAGGAAGATAGTTGATACACTGAATTATATGGATTTAAAAAGGAATATAAGGAAATAAGTTCTTATCTTACATTATTGTATATCTTTATAGTTAAGTAAGGAGCGTGTGAACTGAATACTCGGCGTTAAAATAGTATAGCAAATGAAAACCATTACAGATTTCCCTTCTGTAACATTAATAATGTACAATTTATACTGAGTGTTTTTTTATTTTAAACTCTTCAATTCTAAAAAGAAGTGCAACAATATTATAATTAATTTGCATATTTTTCTTTACTAGTTATTTAAGACAAAAGAGTTTTTTAAAAATTGATTTTCGTTACATTTCACACCTTTTACAAATGATTCGATTAATTCATTAATAAATAATATATCCATCGTAGGCAAGTAAAGGAAACAGAAATGCTGCTTTCATATAGATTAAGAACGTTTCACCTTTACTTGCATAGATTGTATCAGGTGTACCAAATAGTAATCCACTATTTTTGAAATTGTAAGCTAACGAAAATCACTATGAATATAAATTAAACAGTATAGGTCCTTGACTTCTATACAAACGAATATCGATTTCGTCAACAAATAGTGGATTTCTTATTGGTATACCTAATAGGTAAAAACAAATGTTAAATGCTATAAAACACAAAAATTATTATTTCAAAAAAAACATTCAGATCATGAAATACAAATAGAGGAAAGTAATTAGATTTTCGTTTATTGTGTATACAGCGTGTCCCCAAAATCGTATTACAACCTACAAGGTGGTGATTCTACATGTAGAAAAAGTAAAAAAAAAAAGAAAATTTTTTCAGGTGATGCTTCGTTGTTAAAATATTCGAATTTGAAAATTTATTGGATACACGGACAATAAAATAGGACTTGGCTAGCACGACTCTTCATTTTAAGTCGTTTCTACATACTGTCAGCACAAATACACGTGATTTAGATGAATCTTCAAACTAATTTCTTTCCAAAAAGAAGCCTTAAATGAAAAAATAATATTCTTTTCTTTTGACTTATTTTTTCATGCAGAATCACCACCCAGCCGGTTGTACAACAATTTCGGTGACACCCTTTATGTATGAAGTTTGTCTATTAACAGTAATAACAATGTAAAAATCGAATACATATTCCTACATTAAAGATACACGTTTCAAGCGTAAGAATTTTTAGAAACAGCAACGAATACTGAACACTTCTGAATTTTCACAAAGGATAAAAATATTCTCTGGTCATTCGATGGAATAGTTCATTTAAATTTCGTTATTTGATTATACAAACGACGAACGGATCTTCGGCAAGTGGAGCAAACCGAACGCTTTTTAATTGGATTTCACGTTGATGCAATTCTAGTTTCGACGGGGAAAGTTTCCCCGTCTTCGATCAGGCAAACGCAGTTTCCGTAATCGGGAAAAGGTGACGCCGAGGGAGCCCCTTACCTACCCGAACATTCCAGCAATCGGGCCGCAAGAAAAAGGAACGAAACCTATCTGGAAACCGGGACTAAGCCGCCGCCGCCGCGAGTGCAACGATCGAGCACACACCATCGTAGGAATTACACGCTCACCGGTAGAAAGTGAAATATAAATTAACCGACAAGACACGCCTGGTTCGATTATAACAAGACGGGAAAAAAACGTACCGAGTTACGGGTACGAGTTATCTAGAAGTGTCTACCGTAACGACAGACGTGAAGAAAAAATCGATCGTTACACGGATTATTAACGATTCGAGAACAAAGTCTTAAAGATCGATGTGGATTTCACTTGAACTCGATTTTAATAGAATTATTCGAATTATTTCGATTTACCAGTTAAGGAAGGATACAGCTGTTTAAAATACAATTTTTTTTCTACCATGATATCAGAAAAAATTGTACAGTAAAAAAAGTATTCGTACACCCTTTAAAACAGAACAACTCTTTCAAATTAGAAAAAGTGACTTGAGAATTCTTTGTGAAGTTAAAAGGAGTAGTTTACGAAATGATGTATTAAAAAAATTTTGAAAAATTTGCTACTTTTCAGAATGTCGACGAAAATAGTTAATGTAGTTTCTTACAACTTTTTTTGTCTGAGACTGTAATGAAAATTTAATAAATACATTTCGAAGATTTATGTCAGTTATATGTATACCTGCAATTTTTATTGAAATCGGTTAATGCAGAAACGAGTAAGAGACATCGAAAGATGTAAGAATCTTTAGCTTTACTACAGTTGTAGGTCAAAAGTCGCGAAAAACTGCGATTTTCAACATTTTTAACCGTTTGTATCTCATAACAACGTAAACCGATTTCGATGAAATTTTCAGCATGCATGTAACTAACACAAATCTAAGCAATGTATTTGTTAAATATTCATTACAATCTCAGATAAAAAAGTCGCAAAAAGAGACCTTTACTATTTTCTTCGCGATTCCGACCAATTGCAACTTTTTCAACATTTTGTTAACACATCATTTAGTACACTAATCCTTCGAAGTTCACAAAGAAACTGAAGTCACTTGGTCCAATTTTGAAAGAGGTGTTCTGTTTTAAAGGCGGATTTTAGCACGAAATTGTATTAACTGTAGAAATTCTGGGTATATCACAATAATAGCTATGAAAAATAGTAGAAAATACTGTGTTGTAACTAGACTACGGAATTTTATGCAAATTAAAATTTTTATGGATTAATGTAGTGAACTTATTTGTTTCCTTAATTATCGGTTTTGTTAAGTTCAACGTAAATTGCAAT